GTGGTGGCTCCTCTCACTCTGCTCTGCTCCCTGCAGGAATGGGCCGGAGTCCCCAAGGACGTTGTGGAGAGCTTCAAGCCCAACTACAGCGAGAACATCTGCTATGTGAGTGAGCTGCCACCCAAGGACAGCTACGAGCCCCTCTGGGAGAGCAGCAACCCCCCACCATCTGTGATGCCTTCGGCCTCACCTGCCCCCGGCGAGCACAGCCCCTACAAGAACAGCTACGGGAGAGTGTGACACACCCCTGCACCCCCCACGCTGCACAGCTTTGCTGCCAAAACCTCACTGCTCTACAGGCCCTGCTCCCTGCTCCTGCCATGCCTCCCCCAGCTGCCCCTGGTTTTGCTTCCTGCAATGGCCACACTCAGCCCCCCATGACACAGGGGCTGCACTGCACTGCAGGTGCTGGGGGAGCACGGTGTGCTGGGTGCCCTGGGGGCTGCACTGGGGGCACTGGTGGTGCACTGGTGCCCACAAGCACCAGGGATGTGTCCTGGCAAGCAGGCAGGGGCCACTGGCAAACTGATGGGGACATGGGGGATGAGGAGTGCCAGGGAGACCAAGAGTGGAAAAATAATGGAAGACACCTGAAGAGTATTTAAACATGTTCAAGTGACTTGCAGCTGGGTGTAGAAAAACATATATACCATACTCTTAGATGTTTAGCCTTGTGTGTTTGGCAAGTAGAACTTCTGTGTTTAGATAACACAGGCTTGTGATAGACTTAGTGGCACCTTATTTAACATGCTTGAGATTCCTGCCCTGCTATGGGAAAGATCAAATCACAGTGGTAAACCAGGACTGCACAAATCCTTGATAAACAGGCAAAAACAGCAGGTTCAGTGATTCTCCAGCACAGGCCAAGCTCCACAGTACCTGCATCCCTGCTTGTCTGCCTCTGCCCAGGTGCTGCTTGGGGGATCCTCCAGTCCTCGAGATAATGAAAATAAATTTCCTCTTTGCCTTTCATCCCTGGTTTTGTGGTTGTTCCTGTGTCCTGCCTCTACCAGCTCAGACCACAAGCCACTGTGTTACCCTGGGGCCCTGGGCAAGCCTGGCAGTTCCCCCAAGGCCTCGCTGCTCCTTGCCTGCTCCCCAGGTTTCCCCTGGCAATAAAGCTCTGGCCACCAGGGGCTTGTCCAGGCTTGTCACACAGGGTCTGGGGGAAGCACCAGTGGAGCCCCACCTCCTGAACACCTCTGGCCTTGCACACGTTGTGACGCAGCAGCCAGCCCCACCATCCCAGCCCCACTGTCCCAGGCTGGCATCAATTATCATCAAGCATGCAGATGAGTCCCCTCCTGGCTGTCCCACGGTGCTCCCTGCACACGGGGTGATGTGCTGTGGCCTCCCTGTGCAGTGGGCTCGGCTCTGGACTCTGCAGCCACTGCCAGGGCCACCTGCTGCCCTCGGTCACAGCTGCTGTCCCTGCAGGAGACCAGAGCTTTCTGGCCAACACCAGCTGCAGCATCCTGCAACTGCTCTTACAGAATCACAGAATCGATCAGGTTGGAAAAGACCTCTGAGATCATCGAGTCCAACCTACGACTGACCACCACCACGTCAACTAAGACCACGGCACCAAGTGCAAGTAAGACATCCAGCCTTTTTTTAAACACCTCCAGGGATGGTGACTCCACCGCCTCCCCGGGCAGCTCATTTCAATGCCTGACCACCCTTTCTGTGAAGAATTTCCTCCTAAACCTAATTTCCAACTTAAACCTCCCATGGTGCAGCTTAGGACTATGTCCAACCAGTTCTGTCGCTGGTTGTCCGGGAGAAGAGCCCAACGCCGCACCTGGCTACAACCCCCTGTCAGGGAGCGATGAGCTCTCCAGGCTGGCCCCCCCTCAGGCTCTGCTCAGCAGCGCTGGTCCCCAGCGCCGTTCCCGATCCCGATCCCGATCCCG